CATATCGCGCGTGTCGAGCCAGCAGCAATCGCTCCCAGAAGCAGCCTTGACAGGCGCCCCATGCCCGTTGTCGCCCGGTTCCGATCCAAATCATAGTTTCTTAGGATGCGTTTGCGCGAGTGTGAGCGCGCGGGCAAGTAACGCGTGCGCGCGCTTGGCGCAGCCTGGGAAATCCAACATGGAGCCCCCCGGGGGCGCGGGGCGCCGGCGACGCCTCCGCCCGCCTCCCGCGCGCCCGACCCCCCCCGCAAGCCGACTCCTCCTAGTCATGACCCTGGCAAGGCTGCTACACGTCAACGGAGTTGGCAGTGGCGCAGCCATCTGCCGGACCTTGGGAACGTTCACAATTCCGTGTAATTGCCATGGCCCCGACAAACCACCGACCACAAAGGTGGGCGCATTTGTTGGTAACATCGCATATTTCCCGCCGTCCTTGGCTTTGCCTCCATGCAATCAGACAGAACGGCTATGATCTTGGATGGGGTAAGGACCGCATTATCTTTCCAGGCCTGAGCGCATATCAGGTGCAGCTTGGCAAAACGCGCAATCTCTGGCGCTGGAAAGGACGCCATCAGGACACTTCGCTATCCCATGCTCAACCCATGCTCAAATTATAGGGAGGCCACTCCCGGAACAGAGGGCGAGTCTGAGATTTCCCAGGGTTTCCGCCTTCCATACTATCCGCGCGGCTGGTGTGGAAGGTCATTTGCATCCTTGTTTGTCCCGTTTTGTATTCCAATGTCTTTATGTGTTCTTGAATATCTTCGTTTGTCCCTCATGTCCTTTGCTGTCCTTCGGTTTGTTGCTGTCGTTGTTGGGCTTGTTCTGTTTATGTCATTGGTTGCTGCTGGTTTGTTATTGAGCATTGGTGTTGGCTGTTGTTGTGATTTATGTTTGTTGCTGTTGTTAGTTGGGTTGTTCAATATTGGAGGGCGGTGGCAGATGATCGGCGGCGAGCGAGGGGGGGGAAGTGAGGAAGAGAAGAAGATTGCCTCCTTAGAGGGCGGTGGGACTTTTCAGAATCTTTCGCGCCCTCTGAGTAGTTCCTTGTGCCTTGTCAGAGGCTTAGAAAACTGTTCAGAAGGCCAGGGGGCTTCCGAGCCTTCTGAAAAAGGCCCGCCCGCCCGTTTTCATTTCCCCCCTCGCTCGCCGCCGAGATGGCCCAGGCCCCCTGGACATGTCAAAGCATCACGACGGAGGGCTGCGCCCCAGTTCTGGCCTGGACATCTTCGCGCTGTCAAAGCATCACGATGGAGGGCTGCTACCCAGTTCCAGCCCCCAGAGCTGGGGGCCCTCGCCAGGCCCCAGGGCTGTCCAGGAGGCGGCTCGGGGAGAAGAGCCGGTCCCGGGGAGGTCGCGATCTTTGGGAAACCACTGTGTGAAATGCTCACGACGTCGGGCCCCCCTGCGGGACGAGCCCCTGGGTCGCGGAGGGCCCCAGGGGGGAGCGCATAGGAGGGCTGGTCTCGGGCACGATTGGTTGCATGGCATTTCGCCCGCCCCCCCGCCGCCGCCTCTTTGCGCTTCTAAGCAGGCCGAAACGGCGTGCAAGAGAGTCTCGACTCGCGTGCAGTCCACATTGCCTTTCAGGCCTCGCCACGCAGGAGGAGGAGGAGGAGGAGGAGGAGGAGGAGGCCGCCCCTTCCTTACGTCCCTCCCGCCATGCACGTAAAACTCGCCTGAGTCTGATCAAGCATTTTTTGGAGGCCGCCAGCGGTGTCCAATGCCGGGGGGCTTGGGCGTTGGGGGCGTCAGGCAGCAGCGCCAGTGGCGATGATTGTTTGGGTTCCAAGCCTTCTCGTGGGTGTCGTCGTCGCCATCGAGATTACTGAATCGCTCTCTCCAAATACTTCCCTATGTTTATTTACTCCCCTGAATGTTTCTCATCGGCGGGAACTTTTGTTTTGCCGCCTCCGTGTTTTCATGTCCGTCCTTCTTCATTAGACGGTCAGATCCAGGAGGCGCATAATAAACAAGTTGCGGCAGAAGTTTAAGTTGCCTTTGAAGGCCGTTTACGCGTTTCGGGACAAGCAAACAACGACTCAGACCATGAAGAGCAGGCTTTGGGGAAGGGGTCGAGGTCCCTGGTGGCCCTGCGTCATGAGCAAGTGTGATGGCCGAAGATATGAATACCCACCGTATGGGGAACTGATCTCCAAGTGTCCCAGGATCCCAGGATGCCGCGGATGTGTGCATATGTGCCCCCCCTCTGGGGCCGAGCATTTCCAGATAACAACCTGCTGGTGCCCCAGAGTACCGTCTCCCCACACGGTGGATGTGCACTATTTCTCGGCGGCGAGCGAGGGGAGGAAGTGAGAAGGAGGAGGCTGTCTCGAAACTCGGCGTGGCTTCCCAGAAGCCCTCGCGCCTCCGGAGAAGTTTGTTGTGCCATCGGGGAAGGCCCAGAAAGCTCTTCAGAAGGCCCGAGGCCTTCCGAGCCTTCCGAGAAGGCCTGCTCCTTCTTTCGGGCAGGACGACATGGCCGGGTTGGGAAAGGGGGGGTACGAAATCTGCTTCAGCTGGTTTCGGCCCCGCCGCTGGGCCCATGCCTCGATACATGGGCGCCTCCCGGCGCCAGTGGGCGCCAGGAAAACCAGCTGCGTGAGCTGATTATCTACCCTGCCCTTTGCTATCCTACCCTTTCGTCCACCCCCCCGATGCTGCCCGATGCTCCTCCTCTTCCTCCTCCTCCTCCTCCTCCTCCTCAAATTCCTCCTCCCTCTCCTCGGCCTCGCTCTTGGCGCGCCGCCGACTGCCTGGCCCCCTGCAGCGCGTGGGGGGACCTGCACTGGGGGGGGGGCGAGGCCCTCTGCTCCGCAGGCCCCGGCGCCGCTCCTCCCGCCCCGGCCCCCGCCCCGCTCCCTCGTGCGGGGGGGGGGGGGGAGAGACCTCGGCCACGCGCAGGAGGCCGAGGAGGAGGAGGAGGCCAAGGAGGAGGTGGAGGAGGAGGCGGAGGAGGAGGAGGCGTAGGCCGAGAGAGAAGGAGGAGAAGCAGGTGGAGGAGGAGGAGGAGGAGGAGGAGGCCAAGGAGGAGGTGGAGGAGGAGGCGGAGGAGGAGGAGGAGGAGGAGGAGGAGGGCTGGGCGGAGAGGCAGGCCCTGCGGGCTCTCGCCCCCCTGCGGCGATTTGCGGGATCCCAGAGCGGCGCGGCGACAGACCGTGCGGTGACCTTGGGACCGCCAACGACCTCACTTGGCGGCGCGCAGGGGGGGGGTGGGGGGGGAGGGGGGAGGGCTTCTTAGAAGGAGCTGCTTCTTAGAATGCGCCGTCCTTCCCAAGAAGCAGCCTCCTTCTAAGAAGCCCTCCCCCCTCCCCCACCCGACCCCCCTCTGCGCGCCGCCGAAGAACGGTTATGCTGTTGCAGGTTTCAGATTCCGGAATTGGCAGTCTTGGGGGCTTTCTGAGCGCCGCCAGGGGTCTGTTTCTCCCCCATGCTGCTTCCCGCTCGAGCCAGAGAGATCACGCCAGCTACCCGATGTCTGGAAAGTTTTGCCCTCCTCCTGAGAGGAGGGATCGGTACCAATACGTACGGCTGCCCTTCCCTCGTTTTTGCAGTTTGGGGCATCCTGGGAGGCCCTCGTCGCCGCCGTTGGATTCGCTTCGAAATTCTGGTCAAAACGTACCACAGGAGAGGTCTGGGGAGTATCGGTACATGTACCTTCTGGTTTCCCCATAGTCCCTTCTTCCCGCGCGCGCGGAGCAGGATTGAAGATCACCATGAAGGGCAGGGAAGGGCCTCCCAGGGAAGGACGTTGCGGAGTTTTGTCGCCGTTCTGAGCGGAGGGAAAGGGGGTCCTGAGGGAGAGGCCCTTGGGGCCCTTCCTGGGCCCTTGGGACCGCCCAGACCGTCTCAGGATGAAAAGCTGGTCCTGGGGGAAGCCCAGGAGTCGAAGACCCGGTTCCCTCAGGGTCCTGTTCAGGAGCGAATGAAGGACGTAGGCGTGCGTGAATCCATGTTGGTCTCGAGAGTGCGCACTGCGCGAACGTTCGTATCACGCGTCCCGTAGGTAATGGAGGGGGCGATGTAAATGGGGGGCGGCGAAAAGCACACCTCTCGTGCCCGAAACAGGGGCCCAAACGGGGCACGAAAGGTGCACGTTTCTTCCCCCCCGCTTACCGCCCCAGCCACTACTTCGCGCCCGAGCGCGGGTACGGAGGTGCTCGCCGCTCGTGACCTCGGAGGGAGAGGGGCAGAGGGGTGGCGAAGCCTGCTGAGCGCAGCGGGTCCCGACCCGACCGCCAGGCACCTCCACCGATGCCGTGCCATAAGATAGGTCTGAGCAGGCGATGGCACAACTTGCTTACGGCCTGTGGAATCTAGCCCAGTGTACAGTCGGCCCGGATTAGTAGGTCGACCCTGCCAGTTCACGGGTATTCCTGTGTCCTGTGCCTCGCGACCCGTGCTTTCTGTATTCTTGTGGCAATGCGGCCCTCGGGAGGGTCTTGTGTCCTCTCGCGTGTCCTCTCCAATGAAGTCCGACTGTAGAATATCTGTGCCTGCCCCCGAGAGACCAGTCGCCTCATCAAGCAGTAGACGGGCAGTGGCGAAAACCTGGCGGGGTGCAGTGCCGATTAGGATGTTTGTTTGTTTGCAGGTCTCTGACGGGGGGTGATATCCCGCCAGGGCACCTCGGACATAGCGCAGCACCCCCAAAGGAGACACAAGTCACAACTCTCGGAGAGCAGATCCGGAGGAGGAAGGAGGAAGAGGAGGAGGCGCGGGAGGGAACCCAGAGGCGGAGGAGACCAGCGCGCGGCCGTGGGGTCTACGCCACCCAGCCCCAGCGTTGGGCGACTCTGGCCGATACAAGGCGCCACGCGGCGCCGGGAAGACCAGGTGCGTGCCGCCGTCGTCGACCTACCCCCTGCTGCTTCGACAGGAAGAAGCTGCAGTAAGAGTACCTTTTGAAAGTCCGTACGGATTTCTTGGATCTGCGCTGGAGATCCCCCTTGGGCTGCGCCTCCAGCGCCGGTCCCTGGCGCGCTCCGTGCGCCTGGGGTGGGGGGTCCAGCGCCAGTCCAAGAAATCCGCGCGGGCCCTCGAACCTTTATGTCGATGCAGTCTTCTCTCCTGTTGCTGTCCCAGCTATCGTTCGGCCCAACCTGGTCGCCGAGCGCGTAGGAGATGACGGAGGCCACCGTGTCCGAGAAGGACGCGCAGGCGGACTACGAGGCACCTTGCCCCCCCTCCCGCTGCTCCTCCAGCTCCCTCCTCCCTATCCAACCTCTTCCCGCTCCCTACCTTCCCGATCCTCCGTATCCTCCTCGTCCTCCTCCGTATCATCCTTGTCCTCATCCTCCCTTTTATTCCTTTTCGTCCCTCTCCTCCCCTTCTTTGCACCGTCAGGGTGGCCCGCGTGATAGACGCTAGTCTTGACCTGCATTGGTCATGCGCTTCGAAGTGGTGAAGTCCCAGGACTGGCTTTCTGGCACGATTTGAGTTTGCAAGGACGCAAGAGTCCCTGTTGTTGTGCTAGGTGGGGCTTCAGGTGTGACGTTGTCTAGTTCAGTTCCTTCCTGATGAACTCGCTGAATGAAGGTTCTGGCGCGGCATTGGCATCTCAGCTCGTTCGCATCCCAGCACAGTCAACATGTGTTTTCTCTGGGGCTTGCGGTGGCGAAAGTGGCTGCTCTGCGTGAGCTTATGCGCCCCCTCAGGCTTCACTCTAACAAGAATGGTTGTGTGTTAGCGTTTCTGGTGTAATGTTGTCGAGGCCAGTTCCTCATGATGCAATCCTCGCGGAATGAAGTTTCTGGTGTGGCACTGTCATCCCAGCTTCCATTCCAGCACAGTCAGGATTTAAGTGGTCGGGGGCCTGCGGTGGCGGAAGTGACTGCCCTGCGTGAGGTAGGGCGCCACACCAGTCTTGGCCCTATTCGTGAATGCTGTCGGCACCGTGTCCTTGCGGCGATCCATATTTTGAGGCGGCGAGGGCGTAGCCGACAGTCGCAGTGTCTAATGCTCCGATGTTATCTTTTCCTCCTCATCCCTCTCCTTCTCCTCTTTCAGCATACTAGAACCCCTAACCCTGATAACACAATGAATTCGTGACCTAACTTGGGTTCACGGTTTGGGGGGATATCCCTAAACACACGGGTGGTTTCGTCTGACACATGTGCGAAACATACCGCTTATCCCCGATATGTTGGGCCCTCCTAGCTTAGGTCCTCTCCCCAAGGCAGTAGGGGTACTTCTAACATCCTCCTCATCCTCGGACCACCGCAGGCCTTGGGAGGGGCCCCGATCCACTTTGGCGTCGCCAGAGGTAATTATGTCTGGTAGTGGTCCTGAAGTCCGAAATAACGCTTTCTGCCACTGCTGGCAGCGGGGGGGGTTCAAACCTCCCGCCCCCCCCCCGAAAACCAGGGAGGGGGTGGTCCAGACCGCATGTCAGACCAATCCCAACCGACTGGTACCAATTTCAACCGACCTGGTAACTTTTCAACCAGCCAAAAATCCAACGGGTACAAATTTTAACCGACACTCCTGGGCCTACAATCGGATTCCATTTGTACAGCATTTCAAGACGATCCAGACATCAAATGAATATCTCAAAGGTACACATTCTGGGAGTCAGCATGGGTGCCCCGGCTGGAGTTGGTACCAGTTCATTTTCTGTGATCTGGGAGCTGTGTTGTTTCGCAACAGAAACTCGCATCAACACAGGTCACCTCGAAGCAACGATATAGATTTGTATATGTATCCAACACAAGAACACATATTCACAACACATACATACACACCGTTCACAACAACACCTATCGACAGCCCGATGTATTATCCTCGTTGTCCTCGGCCGTTGTTTCCTCCGTTCCTGCCTCTTCCCTGCTCCTCCTCCTCCTCCTCCTCCTCCTCCTCCTCCTCCCCCTCTAGGAGTCCCTGAGTATTCTCAGAAAGTCGTCGAACATCCTACAGAAATGCACCAGCAAACCTCCTTAGAAATCCTTCGGACATCCTCGAGTAATCCATGTAGAAATCCTCCAGAAATCCTTGAAGATCCTCTAATGAGCTTTTAAGGCTGGTTTACGGAGCTTCGAAGGAGCTTCTAAGGAGTTTCTCCAAGAGGCTTCAAGGGAGCTGCTAAGGAGCCGCTAGAGAGCTGCTATGGAGCATCTAAGGAGCTTCTAAGGCCCCTCTCAGGAGCCCCTAAGGAGCCTCTAAGGAGACTCTATGGAACGTCCGGGTGGTTCTAAGGAGTTCCCAAGGAGCTTCTAGGGAGCGTCTAAGGAGCTTCTACGGAGCTTCCAAGGAGCTTCTACGGAGCTTCTACAGAATCTGGCTAGTGCGACCCACAAATCAAGGTTACGACGATTCGGCAGCTTTGCCGAGGTAAGCGCCGTTACGACAGAATCTGGTTGCGACGATTCGGCCGCAATTCCGAGGACAGCGCCGTTACGACGGAATCTGTTCTGGATCCCACCTTTTACCGACTCCGGACAGTGAGCGCATGGCCGGAATGTTCTAGTGTTTTGGGCGCTTCGGCCCCACCCTGCAGCACCCGCGCGGTGCACGATGCAGGCCGTTCCCGTTCCCGTTCTCTTAAGAAGCCTCTAAAGTGTTTCTAATGAGCCTCGAAGGAGCTTTTGATGGGCCTCTAAGGAACGTCTACGGGATCTGTATGGACCATTTAGGGCGCTTCTAAGGGGCATCTAAGGAGCCTCTAGTAAACTCAAATAATTGTTTTAAGTTGCAAAGCAGTTGAATTTGGTCTCAATTGGTTGGGATTGCGACCGGAATAGTTGGAATCCGCCCGAGTTGATTCCGATTTCTCCCGTTTCGGTCTGGACCCCCCCCGTGGAAAACCAGTGGGACAGTCCAGAGTCCAGACCCCCACCCTCACCAGCAACGACGACGACGCCGCACGACGCACGACGCACGTCGCACGACACATGACGCACGACGCACGACGCACGATGCACGACGCACGGCGCACAACGGACGACACACGGCGGCGACGACGCCGACGCCGACGCTGACGACGCCGAAGCTGAAGGCGACGACGACGACGCCGACGCCGATGCCGACGCCGACGATGACGCCGACGCCGACGAGGACGCCGACGCCGACGCCGACTCTGACGACGACGACGCACGCCGCACGAAGCACGACGCACGACGCACGACGCACGACAACCGCACCGACGATAACGACGCCGACGCCGACGACGACAATGCCGACGCCGTCGACGACGGCGGCGACGACAACGACGACGACGAAGACAACGACGACGACGAGCAGAGAAGAGTAGGCGTAGAGTAGTTTATAGGAGGAGTTGAGTAGAGTCGAGTAGAGTCGGGTGAGATACAGTTGGGCAGATTAGGGTCGAGCAGGGTGGTGTAGAATAGATCAGTTCAGAGTAGAGTCGAGTAGAGAAGAGTAGGTGGGTAGAGTAGGGCAGACAGAGGAGTAGTGCTGAGTTGAGTAGAGTAGGAGTAGAGTAGAGTAGCGTAGAGTAGAGGAGAGTAGGAGCAACGTAGAGTGGAGTAGAGTATATCAGGATATTGTAGGGTAGTGTAAGTTAGAGTAGAGTAAGGCAGAGTAGAGTAGAGGAGAGGAGAGGATACTATACTCGAGTAGAGTGGAGCAGAGTCGAGCAGAGTAGAGTAGAGTAGAGCAATAATATCGTGGAGTAGAGTAGAGTATCTTAGGGTCTGGTGCGTAGAGTAGAGTCGGGTAGAGTAGGGTAAACGACATAACATCGAGTAGAGTAGAGTAGAGTAGAGTAGAGTAGGCGGGCAAAGTAGATAACACATCTGCTGGAGTAGAGCAGGGCTGAATGGAATATGAGATAAGAATCGTAGAGTAGAGTATGGTAGGAGCAACGTAGAGCAGAGTTGCGCATGTTAGTGTACGGTAGCGTCGAGCAGAGTAGAGTAGAGTAAGGCAGTGAAGAGTAGAGTAGAGTAGAGCAGACTAGAGTAGAGTCGAGTAGAGTAGAGTAGAGTAGATGATACAAAAATAGAGAAGGAGTATATTAGAATGGAGCACGAGCAAAGTAGAGTGGAGTAGAGTGTGTTAGGCTACGGTCGAGCAGCCTGGAGTAGGGTCGGGTAGAGCAGTGCAGAGTATGGCTACAGGACCTGAGAGTAAGGCAGAACAGGGCAGAGCAGGGTGGAGCACGGCAGGCCCTTAGTAGGGTACTGAGAGAGCTGGACCGAGCCCGACGGGAATTCTATCAGAGCCGGCGCCTGGCGCGGGCGTTGGCGACAGGTGCGCCGCCGCCGCCGCGGACGTCGTCATCGTTGTCGTCGTCGTGGTCGTCGTGGTGGTGGTCGTGGTCGTCGTCGTCGTCGTCGTCGTCGTCGTCGTCGTCGTCGTCTCGTCCTTGCCGGCGGGGGAAGGTTCAGAACCACTCAATAATTTTCCTGCGGGGGGGGCGGTGGGCGGGGGGCAGGGGCGGGCCTTTGTTCGGAGCTTGTTGGTTTGGGAGGGCGGGGGGTGGGAAGGGGCCCCTCTTGTCCGACCCCCCCTTCGAAAAAACAATGTTCAGGCCAGCGACGGTGGATCGCGCTCCCTTTGAAGTCTCGTCGACGCTCTTCGGAGGTCCTCGGGTTCGGGGGTTCGGGGGGGGGGACTGAGAGGGGGGGGAAGGGAGGGAGGGTGGGAGGGAGGGAGGGTGGGAGGGAGGGGGGGGGGGAGGGAGGGGCAAAACGACGGGAGAAGATGCGTTCAAAAGGGGGGATGCGTCGACCCCGGATCGCCCATTCGTTGCCGAGACGGGCTTGGTAGCCCAGCCTTCCAAGGACCGTGCGGTTCTGCTACGGGGTGGTGGTGGCTGATCTATCGGCGATGTATCGCCGATGTCTCGTCGATGCTTCCCCCATTGAGTCAGTCCCTCCTGACATTGCCCCTCATGGGCGGGGGCAAGGGCGGAGGAGGATCTCAAGGATCTTCGCCGTCGCACTTCGACAAAGAAGGCTTGGAAGCTCAGCGCTCGGGACGCAGGCTGCGATGCAAGTACGATTGCGGAGCACGAGCAGGGCGTCCGCGGGGACGCAGGGAGCAAGAGGCGCCTCAGGGCGGCCTTGCTCTGGACCTCCCAACGTCACACAATTAGGGCCCGTGCTTTGTTTTGACGTTTTCTCGTTGCGAATAGAAACGCGACGGAAGGTTTTGGCTCATTTTTGACATTTGCGGGGAAAGCCAAGTATTGCCTCACTGCGCCGCGCCGCGCGCCTTCCAGCAGCTGCGCCGCCAGGAGCGCTTTGGGTGTGCCCAGATCTTCCCGAATGGCCGCCAGAGGACCACCAGGGAGACATCGCTCAAGGGCAACGCGAGGGGGGGTAGGCTCAGGGGGGGGATGCGTCGACCCCCGATCGCCCATTCATCGCCGAGAGGGGCCAGATAGCCCACCCCGCCCAGGAACGTGCGCATTTGCTATCGGGGGCCAATCACCGATCGATCAGTGATTTATCCACAGTTCCAGCACGATTCCTCCCCCCTGAACCGGTCCCCCCTACCGTTCCCCCTCACCCTCGAGTGGTGGTGGTGGTGTCGTCTTTCTATGCCCCTGACCCTCATGGCAGACGCCGGCAGAGGAGGAGGACGAGGAGGAGGAGGAAAAGCAGCAGCAGGAGAAGGATGAGGAGGAGAAGCAACAAGAGCAGGAGGAGGAGGAGGAGGAGGATCGAGAAGGATCAGGATCGAGGATCGTGATCCTCCTGTCTCATCCTCCTCGCCCTCCTCCTCGCCCTCCCACCTCCCCCCTGCCTTCTCCTCCTCCTGTCTCGCCCCCCTTCGCCGCCAGACCCTGATGGCGGACGCCGGCGACAAGCGCGCCGCGGACTCCAAGGCCGTCACCGAGAAGTCGGCCGCCAAGGCCCAGGAGTGCACCCCCCCGTCCTTGCGCTGTGGGGGGCGAGAGGCCGAGCTGTCGGAATTATGCGGGAGTGTTCGCATGTTCTCGGATCGAAGACCCGAACAAGAGAAAACGGCATGGACACAACGTTTTGGCGATTCGTGTGGCGGTCCGAAAGTGCATATGGCTACAGTTTCTTGTTGTTCGGAAGACGATCCATATACAAAACATTACACTTTGATGGTCCGCGCTGATTTTCTGTTGGATCGGCTCCAGGGCGAGTCTGCGGCCACTTTCGAGCCCTGCCTCAGGCCTCGCCACGCTAGTGGCCTTGCCTCAGGGCCTCCTGCTCGCTGGCATCTCGACCTCCTGGATGCGCGTGCAACGAAAGTCGAAGAAGAAGAAACTGCACAAGCACAGACTGTCGGAGCTCCGCGCCGGTTTCTCGGAGATGTGCTGGGGGCCCCTCGGCGGCGCCTTTGGCGCGGCGCCGCTGATGGCACGCTCTGCGCTCTGCGCGACAGGGATGGGGTCCAGCGCTGACCCAAGAAATCCGCGCGGAGCGCCGAATGTCGATACTTGTGCAGCTTCTGCCTCGCCCACTCCTGCTCCCTGGCACCTCGACCTCATCGCTGTGCGTACAACGAGTGCTGACGAGTGCTGGGTGCTGGGCTGTCCTGCGTGCGCGAAGTCGAGGCGGGTGCCCATCCGTGGACACGCTAACGGCAATGTAGGTAACGGCGATGTAGGTTTCGGTATTGTGGGAGCGCGTGTCTCGTGTCGTTCGTTTTCGTTCGACACATCTCGATACATCGGTGTCGTTGTCGTTCGATACATCTGCATGTTGGAAAAGTAGGAAAGTGTGGATCGTGATTATCTACAAGTTGGTTCCCAACATCACCGTCAAGCAGCATCGCCGTTAGCGTGGCTTTGGCCCCTGCGGGCGCCTCCCGCGGCTGGCCAAGACAGCTCGCTGCGCGCTTGGCAGGCGGCCAAGCCCGGAGCGGCGCGCGGCACGCCGCACAGCGGAGAGGAGCAGAGCGGTTGCTGTGCCCGACATTTACCCAGCTGCAGACATCCTGGAAGTTCCCAGACCCCATCGGGTCATGAGAAAAACCCACGTCGGGATGTTTTTCGCTATTTTCTGCCTCTGGGGCTCGGGACCGCCAGAAAGCGACTCAAGATGAGAATCCGGTCCTGGGGAAGTGGTTCAGACCTTTGGGAGTCGACGGTGTGAGAAAATCACGGCGTCGGGGGCCTGCAGACATCCTTCAAGTTCCGAGCCCCGGCCGGCACTTCAGAGGGCGCATCCACAGGGGCAGAGTTCACGTCTGGTTGCTTAATTAGCAAGGGGGTGCCGGAGGTCTGCAGGAATTCTCCTGGGTTCTCGGATCGAGGAATGAAGTCCAGCATGTCAAATTTTGTAGGAGGGCCGCGCGGATTCGTCTGGTCTAGGCCTGGATGGGGTCCAGATGGGGTCGGAGGATCGCGCAGCATCGCCGATGCATCGGCGACGCGGCTCGATGTGGAGCCCGATTTTACCCACGCCCACGTGGCCGATGCATCGGGTATGCACCGCGATCCTCCGACCCCATCTATGCGGACCCCACCTGGGAGGCCTCCATTTTGATCGGCGCAGGACCCCTCTAGCGGCGTCTCTGGCGCGCCCCCAGCGCGCTCCGCGCTCCGTGGATGGAGGGTGAATCGCCGATCCAAGAAACCCGCGTGGAACTCCGAAGTATAATGGTTTTGAGAGCTTGTCATTGGAGGAGCTCTTGCCTCGGAGCGAGTTCTGGCAGCTGCGCCTCGCCGAGAGCGTTCTGGGTGGTGCCCGAATCGTCCCGAACGGCCGCCCGAGGCCCAAGTTTCGACCTGGTAGCCAGATCTGCATTAATTCGGTTTCCCCTTCGTGCTGGTGGTGGTGTTGTTGTGGTTGCTGTAGCTGTCACTCCTTTCGGATCGCAGAACCAATGCGTTGGCTTCTGCCCAGGTGGGAGGTACGTTGCACGGTGTTCCGCTGTAGTATGACGCATGATGCCAGGCGATATTTTGTGTGCGTAGTTCGGCATCCGAGCATCAAGGTATGACGTTGCGGCTTACGTGGTGTCATTGTGTTTGTCTTTGCTGGGCCTGTGAAGCGAACGTGCTGCCGCGTTCAAGTGCGCGGCGCTTACCTTCCGATGACACCAAGACTTGGCAGCAAACAAGGTATGCGGTAATCTAAGTGGTTGTCTCAGGGCTGGGCCGATGGCCGACAGCGCGTCCAGTTCGCGTATAAAGCAGCTTCCGTTTGGTTCCGTCTTCTTGTCATGTGCTCCGTTGTTGTCCGCTGTGGCAGGAAACAGCACCTCTCCATACCCCTGGCGGAGTACGCCTGGAACTCGACATTAATCGGACACTTCATCTTCGGGAAGCCGTATCGGGTCCCTGGTATTTGCAACAGAAATAATTTGTGAGTTCCTTCATCATGTAAAGGGTCTTGAGTTCGGGGGCCCGTGCGCTGAAAGACTCAATCCCCCTGGATGTGTGGATCCGTCGCATTTGCCTGATCTTGTGGTTGGCACGAACTGCATAATGAAGGTACTGGTGGCAGTGAACTGCGCAATACCATGCAAGGGGGAGTGGCGATCAGGGAGGAGGAAGGAGCCAGCAGTGAGATGGAGTGCAACAAAGATGGGGGAAAGGAATAACCTTGAAGAAAAGTGACTGGGATCAAAGGGAGTGGAGGAGGAGGAGGCGGAGGGAGAAGAAGGAGCAGGCGGGGGAGGAGGCATAATTATGAGGAGCGAGAGCAGGGATAGCAGGGGAAGGAGGAAGGGGATTGTGGAGGGAGGGAACATGAAGATGGGCATCGAGGATGAGTGGGAGGAAGAAGATGAGGAAGTGGGAGCCGGCGGGAGGCGGTGGGAGGAGAAGGAGGATGAGGAGGCGGGAGGTGGGAGGTGGGATTGGCGAGGCGGAGGAGCGATCGAGCGGGAGGAGGAGGAGGAGGAGGAGGAGGAGGATTGAGCATGGCCATGACTATTTGACCAAGTCAACGTCTCTACCATCGCATAGGAACAAGCACCCTTGAATTGCGCCTTGCGTCTGGAGGCCTGTTCCGCTTTGCTCAGGACCTGTGGCCAGGCACCATGGGAAATACGCTTCAGGTATTCGGCCCTGGTGCGAGGGATTCGAGGCACGCCTTCTTTACCAAGGGCTAGACGCTGTTGCGACCCATAGCAGCCACATCCTACGCACCATCACACAATCAGACTGCTATGATACTGCATAGTATGATTAGGACGAGCAAGTTCCCCAGCAATGTGCAGGTCGACGCCTGGGGGCTTCTTAAGCATCACACCCATCTTAGTCGACTGGAGAGAAGCACGCCTGAGTCACGCTGTCCTCGTGGCCTTCGAAGCGGATCCTCAGCACATGGTGCATCGACATTCTGTGTTGTCCACATTATGGGACGAAGTGAGAACGGCGAGAGGGGCAGCAGCGGAGGAGGAGGAGGAGGCGGAGGCGGAGGCGGAGGCGGAGGCGGAGGCGGAGGCGGAGGAGGAGGAGGAGGAGGAGGAGGAGGAGGAGGAGGAGGAGGAGGAGGAGGAAGAGGAGGAGGAGGAGGAGGAGGAGGAGGAGGAGGAGGAGGGGCGGGGGGAGAACGGGGAGGGGCTGACCTTTGCCAATGTCTTCGTTCCTATCCTTATCTTCGGCAGGCATAGAATCAAGACTGGCCCCGAGAGTGCGCATCCGCACACGACGAATCACCCTTCTCCCGCATGAGTACTTCGTGGCGAACGGTCTCGGGTAGGCGGCCCTCGAGTGCCGCCTGTCCCGCCATGTCGTCACCAATCATCTTACTTGCCACCATCCACCGTGGAGCTCGATCGTCCACAATATCCGCGTCAGAAAAGTGCACATTCACAACGGAAACAGATCTGGCATCGCGACTCTGTTCTTTCAGCAGCAATCCGAGCAGCGCCCACAAGTCGGCGTCTTCGCCCGTTGGCGCCTCGAGCTTACGGCCGCAAAGTCCTGAAACCATTGGTTCGCAATCGGAGGTAAACGCAATGCATCCTCTTGTGATCCAGGCGGCAGGGAGCAGAGCCCGCGACGTTCGCCGAGCAGCGGCCTGCCTGGGCCCAGGCAGCGGGCCACGTACAGCCAAGGCTAGCTGCAGCCCTGGCTCTAAAGCGCGCATGAAAACGATGGCAACGCCGACTCTGTGAAACAAGATGCTGCTGGTGTCTTGGCCTCCGCTTGCACTTCTCGACCAAAAGAAAGCTGTTCCTCTCAGACCCACCTGGCACGCACCCTGCAACGATCACTTGGCCCTCCAGCTCCTCAGTGCCAATCCAGCTTGGCGTTCGATGTCACAAGGCGCTGGGACGGCAGTCCAGGGTGCTGGCGTGAGACGTCGGAGCCAACAGCCTTGGTCCATCTCAGCCTGGGCGAGGGCCTGCGGAATTAAGTCTTTAGACTCTTCGTGTGGTGTTTGCCCTACATTGCTGTTGCACAGCCAGACGCGACGCATCATATCCTCAGGGGCCTTGCGACACCGTGGACACTCAAGGGCACCATTCATACCTGCCCAACTCATTTTTCTTGAACTGCCTAGGCCATCATCCTCCAGCTGCACGTGTCAGCAGGACCTCTGCCACGAGTCGCAGCCGACCCCCTGCTCTAGGCCAGCTCCGCAGAAGTGCCGACTGGCCCTCTGCCACAGTGCCTGCTTCAGCGTCTGTTTGAATTCGGCGAGGAACCCCTGATGAGAGTCTGCGGCAGGTTCGCGTCGTGTCGACCGACGGCGACCCCAGCGCGGGCGTTTACGGTTGAACGCCGCCTGTGCCCCAGAATCGGCCGATCCTTGAACGATTCGGCCTCTTTGAGAGGGCCGCTCGTTCAAGTTGGAACGATCCCCGCGGTGTCAGGAACCAACGCCAGGGTCGACACGACGCGAACCTGCAGTATGGCAGCGATTTCCCGAGTACATCTCATTACCGAACCTCCACATCACCAGAGGCAGGATGACTGGGAGGGCT